AGAAGCCTTACTCACCTGCATGTGGGCAGAGAGTATCACTCACTGTTTTGGGGGCTCACACAGCACTCTGTCAGTTTCATTATTATTTTTTTTAATTATTTTATTTTTTAAAGTATATTTTATTGATTTTATACAGAGAGGAAGGGAAAGAAATGCAGAGTTAGAAACATTGATGAGAGAAAGTCATTGATCAGCTGCCTCTTGCACACCCCCTACCGGGGATATGCCCACAACCAAGGTACATGCCCTTGACCAGAATCGAACCCGGGACCTTTCAGTTTCCAAGCCGACGCTCTATCCATTGAGCCAAACCGGTTTTGGCTGTCAGTTTCATTATTATAGCATTTATCACATGCCTGGGATTATTTATTCCTTTGATGGCCTTCTCTGAGGTCTCTGAACTCAATGTTAGGCACTCTGTCTTATTCATTTTAGCATTTCCGGTGTTTGGAAGCATTAATAAACATTTACTAAGTGAATGAAGAGGAGAGGCAAGCTGTGTGTTGTATAGTGGGAAAGGCACTGAACTGGCTGATTGGAACTGGGACTCTAACCCTGGCTCTGCTACTAAGCGCCTGCGTGACTTTGAACAAGTCTCCTCACTGCTCTGGGTCTCAATGTCCTCATCTGTAAAATGAGAATAAAAATACAATCCCCACTCCTCAGGGTGATGGAGATTAAATGAGGTAACAGAGCTCACCAGCTGCCTGCCCTGTTTGTGCTCTGCCCTTGTGAAACAGCCTGGACTATTGTTCCTGTCATTTGGATCTCATTTGCTTTTTCTCTCCTGGTGAGAGCCAAGCTGAAAGCTGTTGCCTCGATGGAGGGAAAGTCTGCAGCAGTGGCATAGATACCAGCTAGGTGACCCCTGTGTTGCTGGAAGGGCAAACACCAAACATAGGAGGGTGGGGGCAGGCGTGTTAGGCTAGAGGGAGAGACTTTTTTGTGTGATCCTGTAAACTTTCAAGCTAAAGGAGAACCTGAAGAGGAGAGAAGGAGGCAGAGCAGATCTACATCATTTACTGATGGGTCTGAGGAAGCCCTCAAACAGTGCCCGTAAGCCCAGGAATTTAGCAGCACCTGGAAAAATGACACTTATGTGAGGACCACTCATTTATCTCATGTCATAGTTTCCCAGCGCCTTGAGCTGATCTGATGAACCTTATTATGGTTTTGCAAGTTCTAAGAAATAAGTAGAGGTGAAGTAAAAAAAAAAAAAAATTGCAAATGCCAAGTAAAAGTATACCATTATGGAAAAATGGGGGGAAAAATCATGATTTTAGACACTGCTATCTCAAGAGATAACAACCAATTCTCAGGTGAGATGTCTTTCTTGAAAATCCACCACCATTGCTCTTTTTACATTCTAAAGGCAAACTTTTCCATCAAAACTTAATATACCTTACAAGACTGGGGAGGTTCTGAGATCCGCAGCTAGTACTTTGTAAAGTTTTCTTGGCATGTCACTTATTGAGTTTATTTAGCTGCATGACTTGGTCTTAACACAAGACAAGTGGTCAAGGAAAGAGAATAAGAGGGGGACTGAGGCCAGTGATTCTCCCCTACAAGTGAAGTCAATCCTGGGGGTTAAAGTTAGTGACCTTAAAAAAATAAAAGCACGTTTCCATTTTGCAAGGCTTTTAAAAAAATATTGTGTGCTCAGATGGCACCTTTAATCACGAAGAACTTCTGGCTGAGCTCCAGGCCGATTCTGTTGGCGCAGAGAGCTCTGAGATCATACCCTATATACAGTGCACAGGACAAATATTTCATCCATCTCTGAAATAAAGAGGGAACAATAGATCTTACTGGAACAGTTTCATAGCAAGACCATACCAGGATGAAAAGTGAAGGACAACCCTATCCATTTGGAGTATAGAAAGAAACTATTAATTCTAAGTACGTAAGTGGCTTCTCTGCCCCCCCCCCCCCCATTCTCTGAGTGTTTCATAATAAACTAAGAAGCTTGCATAAATCTGAAAGCAATCTCCTATTTCACAGATATATAAATAAAGGCGGACAGATTTTGTGATTTACTAAAGACTACTTTTATTGAAAAAAAGAAAGGAGAGAGGCATAAGGGAAAAAGAAAACAACTCCAAAGTAGCAGGTTGTGACCCAGGAGTTTGAGCTCTTAGAGCTGAATTTAATCCACACCGGGGCCAAATATAATTCTCCAGGATGGAAATGGTCCAGGACACCAGAGCTAACACTGTTGCCAGAGAGCCCAAGGCGATTTGGTGACAAACAGTCAGAACCTCACTTCTATTTCTCCTCTGAAAGAAAGGCCAGCATCATATGACAGGCACTTCCCACCATGGCAGGGCAGGGGTTCAAGCCCATTGGAAGGAAGTATGCTTCCCCTTGATTCATCATTGCCTCTTGCATTAATGTTATCCTGTGGAGGTTTTTTTTGTTCAAAGGTTTATTTGTTGGACAGTTGGGTCAATACAATTTTAGGTGGCAAGGTTGAATCACCGTTTTATTCCTGGTGCCAGTCTTGAGCAGCAGGTTATATACTGTGCTGCTTCTTTATTACATCTCCCAAAACCTTAGCTGTGGGAAAGGCCTAGGTGGTTGCTCTGGGTATCAGAAATCGAAACCCCGCCACTAAATGATGAAAAGTGGTCCAGGCCAAAGCTGCTCTAGAAATCTGAAAGCCATTATTTTTTTCCACACCTCCTCGCTTCACCTTCATTTTGTTTGGGAATGCACAGGGACAACAGCGAACAAAAATAAACCGACTTGCCCTTGACTTGATTGTTCTGCCTTTTGAGTTATCAAATGTGATACTTCTGGCTCCCAGATATAGAAGTAGAGAGAGACTGCTGGGAAGACAAACCACAAATTAGAGTTGACGTTCCAGATTCTTCTACCTAGAAGAAGGGTTCAGAACATTCCAATTAATAATGTGCCCTGTCACAAAGTTGACCTGGCTTCTGAATTACATTTGGATTTTTAGAAATGCAAGAAAGCAAGCATATAAAAATCCTAATGTGTGTTTCTTTCAGCTCAACCCTGCCCATTCATTTTAGTGGCTCTTTTTAATCCATGACGCTATACCCAAGCCACACACATTTTTGAGTATCTGCTCCCAGGAATTGTCTCAACTCAAGAGCACCTGTAAGGAAGACAGAACCACTTTAGGAGGTAGAGGTGGAATGTGGCAACTCTTCCACAGGCTTGAATCAATAACAGAGCCACTCAGGGTAGGAGGTTTTGCTAGGGCTTAAGTCGGGTTGTCAACCCAAACACAATAGGCTTTGTTGCTCCAGTGGAAAGAGGAAATGGAGCAGTTTTTGGCCTTCCCAACACTGTATTGTAGGGTCTGCAGAATGGCAATTCCAGGCACAATCTTCACACAGATACAAATCTGCTTTGACTACTCAGTGTTCCCCAGCAAGTTAATCAGATGTTTCTGAAATGCATATATATATATTCAGCGTTTTCATACTGAAGTCTATCATAGTTTTAGGCTTGAGGTGGGGTGGAGGAGAGACTGGGTGTATATATGGGAGAGGATCTGTCAGAGAAACAGAACAGAGCCCTTTTGGCTAGGGATACCAACACCTGTGATTTATCTCAGAAATCACTTTTTTTCCTTTCTTTTTTTTTCTGGCTTGAGCACTCTTGCGGAGGGGCCTGCTGTGGCGTTCCACTCCTTCAGATGTGGGGAGTTACCTTTTGGGTTCAAAAGTCCTGAGGTGGGAAGCGCAGAGAAAACTAAGCAATGCCTCCGTTAAGCGATGCCTAACTGCTCGGGGAGAAGCCGGGGCTCGGCTCAGGGAGCTGCGGGGGAGGTTGCCGGGGGCCATGGGCACATCCTCTTACTGAGCGGCAACGGTCCAGCAAGTGGATTTGGGGACCTCGACAACTTCGCCTGGGGGTTGGGGTGTGTGTGAAGAGGTCTGCGAGGAGGGGCTCTGCCCGGAGACCTCCTACGGACCCGAGGAGCGGGCGTCCCACCAAGTGACAGCAAGCGCCCCCATGGGTCCGCTCCCCCTCCTCCCCCGCGGCCAGTCTCGGCCCTCCCTCCCCCTCTCTCCACTCGTCCGGGTGGACCGAGCCTCCGCGGGAGCCTCGCCTGTCTCCGGGCAGCCTGAGGCCCGAGCGCTCGCCTAGCCTGTCAGTAACCGCCGTTTGCGCTTCCCTTTTTTTCTTTTTTTTCTTCCTTCCCCCTCATCCTCGTCTTTTCTTCTCCCCCCGCTTCTGCCTTTGTCCCGCTTAGTAACTGAGCGCCGGCCAATCGCGGCCTCACCGGCCGGCACCGGCTGGCTCCTGATTGGCCCGCTCGCGGCGCGCAGCCGTCTCCCGCTCCTCCGCCGGAGCGAGGCAGACAAAAGACGCAGGCTCCGGGCTCGAGCAACCGGGAGCAGCCAATCGCAGGCCGCTCCCGCCGCTCTGCCTCCTCGCCCCGCCCCCCGGCCGCTCGCGTGCTCGGGGCACCGGCTCCTGGCGTGCGGCCAGCGCCCGGGCCGTACCATTCCGGTCGAGGCTTGGGTGGAGCGTGAACGGGTGATGAAGGAGCGGAAGCCCCGAGAGCATGGAGGGGAGAGTTGAACGCGCGGATGGAGGATAGTGTCAGCGTCTTTCCTCAGGCGCCTCACAGAATCCGCAGTCTGCCAGGGCCGGGTGGCGTGGAAGCGGCCGTGGGAGTGACGGCGGCCCCCTGCCCGGTGCGGGTGGGCGGCGCCTCAGCGGGGGAGCGTGGAGGCGGGGAAGGGTGTCCCCCTCCGCGCCGTTAAAATGAAACTAGTGACGGGAGTCCAGAGCAGAGCGTGAGGGACGCGGGCGCGGGCGGGCGGCTGTGCAGCCGGCAGCAGTCCCCCGGCCGAACGGAGCTCACTGACTGGACTCTCCCACGGGCCCCGAGCCCGAGGCTGCCGCAGCTTTGGGTCCGAGCCCGAACCCGCGGAGCCCGAGGCCGGCCCCTGAGGGGACCACTCTCTGCAGACCAGTGGGGACCCCGAAACTTGAATGCACTACCCAGCCCCCTTTTTATGCCTTCCTTTGTCACTTCTTCACCTTGCTCCCAGCAGGTTCTTTTTTTTTTTTTTCTTCCCCTTTTTCTCTCTTCCTTCTTTTGTTCCGTCTTCATTCACCGAAGGACACCAAAGTGGCTTCCGCGGGAAGATTCGGAGGCGCTGGGAGCTCTCCCCTCTGAAGAGAGACCGTGTGGAAGGGATTTTTTTGGGAAGCCGCTGCTTAACCACCTTTACCTCCCGGCCCCCCTCCGCCCAGCCTCCTTGTGCCTCCCCCCCGCGGGGAGCAAAGCCAGTCCATTGGAAGTTCGGGGGCCTTTTGCTGGGTTCGGCCGAGGAGAGACGGGGAGGACCTCGTCCTCGTCCCGGTAGTTGCCTTGGACTTAATACCGGCCATTGGAAACGCTGAAGTCCATTTCCGAGTGGGACTTTTACAAATACATATATATATATATTTTAGAGTATCAGATTAAAAAAACAAACATATATGCTTTCTATATATTTCTGGACGACCCGCTTCTGACAGCGCGATGTACAATACGGTGTGGAGTATGGACCGCGATGACGCAGACTGGAGGGAGGTGATGATGCCCTATTCGACAGAACTGATATTTTATATTGAAATGGATCCTCCAGGTACTTGGGGAGAAGCAGAGAATTTTGTGACGGGTCTGGTGTGTGTGTGTGTGTGTGTGTGTGTGTGTGTGTGTGTGTGTAACAGTATCTTGGTGATGTCTTCGGGGCAGAATTATCCCCTGGTGCGCTGGCTCTGGGATGTGGGGGGGCAGGTTTTGCAGTTAAAGCTGCAGTAAAACTGCTGCTAGTTTTACACGGTTAAAGTTTGCAGTTAGGACCCTGATCCTATTGTCCTGCGAGGGTGGGGGTGGGGATCGGAGTGGGGGCGGGAGGGGAGACCCGACCTTTAATTTTTTTAAATTTTTTTAATTTTTTTTACTTTCTTTGCCTTTGCGTTGTCGTTCAGGTTTTTGTCCCCCTCCCCCCAATCCCATCCCCCTACCTCCCATCCCCCCGCCTCTTTCTTTTTCAATTAAAGGTTCTTCTACTTGCAAAGGATGCATTATATCCCAGTCTTGAAGTCAGTCTTTCCCTTTGGGGGAATTCTTTAAAGCTTGTCATTTCTTACGTTTGTCTCTTTTAGTTCGTTGTTTTACCTATGTTAACTTCTGAAACTGCTTGCCAGTGTGATTATTCATTTTAAGACCCCTCCCCCCTTTTCTCTTAAAGAAACCAAATGCTGGTTAGTGATTTTCAAGGGTTGGGCGTTATTTATTTATTTATTTATTTTTATTCAGTCATGGCCTTAGTGTGAGGTTTTTCTTCTTCGGATATAGTCGCTGAGAGAGAGATCTACGTGCAGTATTTTATTACTCTTTCATTTGTGGTGATTTAACTTGATTTCTGGGATAGGGTTTGATGTAACCTCAATTTTTACATTAAAAAAGGAAGAACCTTCCTTGTGTGAATATATGTGATGTGTACATATATGTGATGGGTTCGGAGACATATAAAGTATACATATACTGTATTTCTACTTTAGAGCTTTGTCTGAGACCCCTACAGACATTTTGTGTATCAAGTAGGGAAGGAAAAGGAAGGGAAAATGGAAAAGTTGGGTAATTTTTTTTCCCTTTAAAATCTACCCCATTTAATAATTATTAGTTGTCAGATTTTCAAACTGTGTTGGCAATTATGGACCATGCTTTATGTAATGATTTTGAGTAAGTATAGAGGGCCTTTGTGACTCCCAATTTTTGTTGAGCATGAATTCGTTAGGTCTTTTAAAAATGTGTTATACCTACAGAATGAATTGTGTCATTGGGGAATCTCAATTATTATAAACCTATGTATGTATTTTTGGAAACGTTAGAAAGGATTTGCGACCATGCAAGTGTAATAAATTATAACTGCCTTATAGAATGTATGCAGAAATTATTTCCTGTGTCCTTGTGAACAGTGAATTATCTCTTTGTTTTCCCCCCCAATTAGTCACAAAGTGTTAAATTATGCTATATTAAAAATTTACTAATGTTGAATCAACCTTTTTCACTCCTAACGATCACTTGGAATTTTTTCCTTTTCCCCTTCATTTTGGAGCCTTCATTATTTGCTTTTATAATTGTGACTACAATCCAGTTGCAGCTTTTCAGTGTTTCATAAAGTTTGTAAGATTTGCCACCCATCTATTGTGTGTATTTCCCCCTTTGTTCCCCCCAATGATAAAATGTCACTTCTATTAGATGCATTTGTCATTCATCTGAACGGAAATTAAGTACATCATTGGTTCCTCTCTTGTAAAAAGTAAGATTAATAATTTTAGATTTCTGTTGTTATAAGAATTATATATTCAAACTGCCTTAGAATCATACTGTGTCTTGTCTTACAGACATACAAAGGGATTTTGTTGGGCGGAGAAGTGAGTGGGGAGGAGGGGAGAAAATGAAGAAGGCACTAATGTTTGAAAAATGTGGGCCTAGTAGAAGAATATTGGCCAAGTTCAGTTGAGTTGGCCAAAAATGATTTTAAGAATAGTTGGACTGTTATAATTATGTAGTGATGTGGGTCTTATGGCGTTATATAGAAAATTCTGATCTAAACTTTGGGTATTCCATGGCAGTAAACTTTGGAGTTATATGCATATGATGTTCTTTATTACTTTTTTTGTTCTGATCAAGACAAATTTCTTAATGTAGAATATTGTTAGTTATTTCTAACAGCTTTTTAAAAAGGAAGCACACTTGGATATGCTGAATTGCCTATGAAGTGAATGATTTTTACTGGAAGTAATGGGAACATCAACCTTGTTTTGTGTAATAAATTAAATTTTGAAACGTTTAAACTAAGTAAATTTATTAGTGAAGAGATTGCAGCATGTACTGTATCTGACTTTTTCCTAGCTCCTCACCCAGATCAAGCTCTTAATATTTCTTACCTGGATTGGTATGATAGTGTAATAATTGTTGTCTCTTTCTATTCTGTCCAGTCCACAGCATCATTAAAGTATCACCTGATAATTTACCTTCCAATGGTAAATCTTCCAATGACTTTAAAAAACTACCAAAGGGCTTTCCTTTGCCTACTGACTAAAGCTCCTGATTGCTTATCCTGCCATAGAAGTTCCTCTATTTTTGCTTCCAACATAATTTTCCTGTCTATTCTGCTGGAGTCCATCCTAAGTTCTATGGGAGCTATTTTGTATTTGCTATTCCTTGAAAGTATGTTTTTTTCCTTTTTCTGGGTGCCTTTCATTCCCCATGGCTACTGGTTGAAATCTTACAATTGCTCGGGGCCCAGGTTAGATGTGTTCTTTACCAGGATGTGTGTTCCCTGACCCTTCTGTTCAAAGACATCCCTCTTTCTTCTAGCCCTTTTCATGTCCAAAGCTTGTAGATAGTGGTCTGTTAGCTAGTACTTTAGTTTTGACACTGTTACTGTTTTTATTTTGGGAAGATATAATCAATGATTTCTTTTAAATTAGTGGATACAATTTAAAAAAATATATATTTTATTGATTTTTTTTTACAGAGAAGAAGGGAGAGGGATAGATAGTTAGAAACATCGATGAGAGAGAAACATCATCCCCACTGGGGATGTGCCAGCAATCAAGGTACATGCGCTTGACCAGAATCGAACCTGGGACCCTTCAGTCTGCAGGCCGATGCTCTATCCACTGAGCCAAATTGGTTAGGGCGGATACAGTTTTTTTTAGGGTTGTATGTGGACCTTTTCTGTTCTGATCAAGACAAATTTCTGTAATTATCTTTCGAGCAGCAACATCCCTTCAGTAGTAATTAGAAAATTAAATGCTTCAATTGTTTGGCACAACATAAATTATAGAAAGGGCTATATAATGGTTCTCAATTTTTTTTTGGTCTGAGTGCTTAAAATTTTAAAAAAAATTGATTTCAGAGAGGAAAGGAGAGGGAGAAAGAGATAGAAACATCAATGATGAGAGAGAATCATTGATCGGCTACTTCCTGCACACTCCCCACTGGGGATGGAGCCTGCAACCCAGATATGTGCCCTTGACTAGAATCGAACCTGGAACCCTTCAGTCCAGAGGCTGATGCTCTGTCTACTGAGCCAAAGCAACTACTTGTTTTATATACTCTTAAAAATTATTGAGAGCAATAAAATATATTTAAAATTGTGCTTGCTTCAGCAGCACATATACTAAAATTGGAACGATACAGAGAAGATTAGCATGGCCCCTGCGCAAGGATGACACGCAAATTCATGAAGCGTTCCATAAAATAAATAAATAAATAAATAAATATATATATATATATATATATATATTTAAAAATTATTGAGAATCCCAAAAGACCTTCTGTTTGAGTTATATCTATTTTTAAAAATATATTTTATTGATTTTTTACAGAGAGGAAGAGAGAGGAATAGAGAGTTAGAAACATCGATGAGAAAGAATCATCGATCAGCTGCCCCCTGCACATCCCCCACGGGGGATGTGCCCGCAACCAAGGTACATGCCCCCGACCGGAATCGAACCCGGGACCCTTCAGTCCACAAGCCGATGCTCTATCCATTGAGCCAAACCGGTTTTGGCTGAGTTATATCTATTGAAATTTACTGGATTAAAATAAAAATGAGGAACTTAAAAATATTTAATTCATTCACAAATAATAAAGTATTACATGTTAACATGTAACATAACTTTTTCAATAAAAATATATTTTCTTTTTAAAAATATATATTTACTGATTTTAGAGAGAAAGGTAGAGAGAGAGGAACATCAGTGATGAGAGAGAATCATTGATCCGCTGCTTCCTGCATGTCCCCTGCTGAGGATCCAGCCCCCAACTTGGGGATGTGCCCTGACCAGGAATCTGTGATCTCCTGGTTCATAGGTCAGTGCTTAGCCATTGAGCCATGCTGACCGGGCAAAAAACTATATTTTTTTAAAAAGTGATGAGTGGCATTGTTTTATTATTTTTTGCAAATAACTTTAATGTCTGGCATAACAGAACACATAAAAATTTTCATGTCTGCTCCTGCATTCATTCTGTTCAGATATTACAGTTCATAGCCTCTGGAAAGCTCCACTGTACAGTTGTGAAAGAATAAGAGTGCAAAAGACAAATCATGTCTTAGTAATACTATGAAAAGTATATTTAAAAAAATATATTTTATTGATTTTTTACAGAGAGGAAGGGAGAGGGATATAGAGCTAGAAACATCGATGAGAGAGAATCATATACCAGCTGCCTCCTGCACAGCCCCCACCGGGGGTGTGCCTGCAACCAAGCCACATGCTCTTGACCAGAATCGAACCCGGGACCTTCCATTCCACAGGCCGCTTTATCCACTGAGCCAAATACTTTTTCATAGGTTCTGACCTATGAAAAGTATTTTTGACCTCTTGGACCATCAGAAGGGGTTTAGAACTATTAGTCCAGAAGTTACCTGACTACATGATTTGATGGCCAACCTAGTAAAATGTCATGACTTTTTTGAAATCGGATGAAAGGATTGTTTTAGGAAATTAACTTACTCTAGCATACTTGGTATTTTCATCCTAGTAAACTTTAGATTAACATTCTGATGGAGAAACTGGTGCACTGGTCCTGTGGTTGGGGAAAAGATCTGTGGAGAAACAC